TCACCGTACTTTTATGGAATGGGATGTTTGTTTTTTAAAGGAATTATGGGATGGAATGTTGGTAGTTGAAAAACAACATGTCTATAAAAGAGTGTAGCTAAGATAAGGATGTTGAGATGGATGAGTGACAAGACAATAAATGATAGAATTTGAAATAAATTCATTTGAATGAATTAAATGGTGAATCTAATATTCGATAAGATGAGGGTAAGTAGCCTTAGGAGGTTTGGTCAAATGCAGTGGCGACTTAGAATAACACTAGTTAGGATGGACGATTTGATTCAAACGGAATGCTTTTAAAAAGGTAAAGAGAAGGCCCACAAGAACATGATGCATATAGTGGGAAGATACGTGATGATCTATGACTAGATTGACTGTATGGCCATTAATAGAGTGGAATAGAGGAGCATGATTGATATAATCGATTCTAAATAGTTGGGATAAGGCTCGAATGATGATGATAATATATATCCAATAATTTCTCATAGATCGGCTCTCATTAGCCCTACTTAGAGCTATTCATAGATACCATGTTTCTACTATCAAAATGTCAATCTCACTTTTAGTGTGTGTTTATATGTATATGTATATATTTACATATCTATGTGTGCGTGCGCATGTGTATATATTCAAATGGTAATCTTATAACTATAATAGCTAAAAGTATTTAAACATTACCAAATAATTTCACATGGATATTAAAGTCATTAATTGTATTCGAACTTATCGGGATAAAATAATAAAAGGGTGTTGTTTACATTACACAGGGCAGCAATCTTAATGGTAGAAACAAGGTTTGCATGTTCTAAACGGTCCGTTTATTTATACAATATAGATTTGACACAATTTTCTAATGTTATGTCAACTTTCATACTGTCTTATAAGTTGTGTAAAATCTACATTGTTCAGCCAAAATAGATGGTGTAGAACACGATAACATTAAAAATACAACGTCAAATTAAGAAAAGGTTATGTTAGGGTTATAACTGTGACCATCTCTTTAATATACTCAGCAATAAAGGACATTTATTGTCCCTTGTTTTGTAATATAAATTTTTTTTGAGTAGAGATGTTTTTTTATGAGCGGTAGGATAAATATCTCTATAAAAAATTAATGATATTTTATTAGTGGTTTAAAAACACAATCATTGCTCCATGTGGATGAAGTCATACCTCATGTGGATGATGTCATCATCCACTATAGTTAATAAATGCTTATTTTTCTATCAAGAATTTATACTTACCTCTATTAATTACCTAAAATATTTATTGAAAAAAACATTACTACATAGTGGGATAAGGCTATCGAGCGCCTAAAAATGTTGAATACTTTTAAAAAATACTCATATGTGTATGAATACCTTAACATAATCCACTAAAAATTGAAAAAATTTATATAGAATCGAGGCTTCAAACAATCAAATTAGAGCCCACACCAAAATTTTTTCGAGAAAAGGTTGTTTTGATGCCCAAATATCCTCAAATTAATCACCTCGACATCAAGATGCATGGACATGAAAAAAAATAGATTTCGAGTTTTGAAAATAGTGGACCTTGTAATGCATATTTGGACCTTTAATTTTCAAGATTTTTATAGATCTTCTCGACCAATACTATTTTTTGAGCTTTAAATTTTTTAATTAAAAAAAAACATATTTTAAAGCTATCAAAAAGATTTCCAGTATTGAAACCACATTTCTTGATACTATTTGAAGGTGTGCTTTATTTTTTATTATTTAGAGCCCCGACTCTACACAAATCGCACCTTTAAAAATAATGTATAATATCATAATCTTACAATTACAAGTAAAGTCTAAGTTCGGAACATTCATTTAAAAAAAAAAAACCAATAAGAAATCTTAACTAAAGTTCAGGGGCGGCAACTGGCCTAAAAAGCACTACGCCCTGGACCAAAAAATGTGGCCCGAGGCCGGCAATGACAACTAAGGGTAGGGTCGGGCGAGATAAGGTACGGTCATGACAGAGCCGATTAGACCCAACCCTTTTGAACTCTTTAATTTTTCATTTTATTTTTTCTTTGATTTTATTTGACCGAACCTGCCTAGCCCAGCTGTAATAAAGCCCAGGCCTCTTTGGTCCTTCTTGAGGGGCTGGGCTAGGTCCAGTTTTTGGGTGGAAATAGTAAAGACAAAAGCGCGAATAGCAATTTTTCCTGAGGTTTGTAGAGGACCCTCTCGTCCGGTCAAATCGAAGCATGCAAATCGAATCTCGTTCCTTCATTCGTATTCGCGCTATTCATTTTTCTCTCCTCTGCAATTCCTTCCTGATTCCAGGAGAAAAAAAAAATTCAGAATAAGAAGAGAGAGAGTGTGTAGTTTTTCTCATCAATGGCGTCCAACGGAAAACCCCTGAAACAGATCGCAGAGTCCTTCCAAGAGATTGCACTCACTCTGAATTCGCAAGCCTCTGATATTGAGGTCGCCTCATTTTCGCGTGCTTGCTCTCATGTCTCTGTCCTCTTTGGGTGTCTTGGACTAGCCTTCAAATTTGCAGAAATGGATTATGTGGCCAAGGTGATTGAATGTTCACTGTGTTTTTTCGAATTATTGATGAGAATTGACGGGATTTCGTGATTCAGTGTTAAGGGTTTGTGAAAACAATAGTTTTCCGGCAGAAAAAATTGCATTTTTACGTTGGTTGTTTGGGTTTTCTCTTGAATTTTTTTATTTTTAGGATAGTTATTTGGAACTTCTTATCAAATTTGTTAGAAATTTTGGTGGTTGGATAGATGCGCAATTGCTTATGTTTCATTACAAATGGATTTATTGTTTAATTTGGTGAGAATTCGAAATGATTTATTGGATTGTTTTGGTTTGAAATTTTGGACATTTTGTTCTTGACTGCTCTGGTTAATCTTTGATGGGGAGGGAGGGAGAATGTGTTTGTTGTTTAGTTTGGTGAGAATTCGAAATGATTTATTGGATTGTTTTGGGTTGAAATTTTGTAGGGAGGGAGGGGGTCAGAATTCAAAATGATTTATTGGATTTTTTTGGGTTGAAATTTTGGAGGGAGGGAGAACGACAGATTTGAATTGTTGGAATGTGATAAATTTGAAAATTCAGCACATGTCAACGGGTTATAGAATTCACACTCAACTGGCATTTATATCACGTTACTCTGATTGCTCTTGAAATTTAGGCGGGTGCTCTCTTCTCTCTCTCAATTTCGTGGATAATTGCTAAGATTATGTTCATTTTATTTCAGAGCATAATTTTGACATCAATATTTGAGCATTTTCGTCACTTTAGCGAATTAGATGAATGATGAGATATGGAAAAAAAAAATCTATTGTTTCATTAAATTGAGGTGGGGTGAATTCCTCTTAAGATTTTCTTCTCAAATACTTTCTTGTGGTTGTCATAGAGGATTAATTTGCATGATGCACATATTGACACATGGTCTTCATCTATTTGCTTTTGTTTACATGTTTTGCGATTATTCTCTATGGAGCTTTTACTTTCGTCATCATCATCATCCGAGAATTATCCCAACTATTTGGGGTTACCTACACGAATCCTGTTGTGCCATTATGCTCTATCAATGGCCAAACCCTCATATATAGGGAATGCCCTGGTATGAGCATATAATATAGGTTTAGGATTCATTAAAAGATGTGTTAAAATTTCATGCCGGATGCCTACCTAAACCTACCTTCTTCCTTTATCTGGGCCTGGGACCGGCATGGCCGCCTTGGGACTTGCCATGGCAGAGTTTTTACTGTACTTTCTGTAATTACTCACAAAGGTGGGAATATGGCAAATTTCATGGCGACTTATTTGAATAATTATGTCTAAATCTTAGTTCAAACACTCATTCATGTATACAATTGCTGTCTCAACTCTTAAAGCAACTTACAATACGGTCGATTTTTTTGCCCTTTGCATTATTTTTTTTTGATACTGTAGCCTCGTGCAATTAACCATATGATAACTCTAAATGGCCCAGCTACAGGTTTTCATTTTCATTATCTTGGTCACCATTTGTTTCCCTTGTCATATAACATGCTAATTGAACAAACAACTATTTCTGGAGCTTCTCATCAAACTTTCTTCCTATTCACTTTTACTTGAAGTTTGAAATTACATTAGTCTGCATGTTTCTGAGTAAGTCAGTCCATTCTGAAGGTCCTTTGGGAAGATCATTGCGTTTTTCAATAACCATTTAGATACGTCATAGTGTATTTTGTGTGTGTTGTTCTGTATTTACTATATTTCCTCTATTGATTGGTTATATACAAATGTTGCTTTCCAAATCTCCTATAAATTTGAGCATTGTCGAATTTAGGAAACAGCCTTCCATATTGAACTATTAAATCAAGATCGAAAATTTGAAGGGAAAGTATAGTAATGGTGTTTGATATATTGTACACCAATGTGGCATCCCCCATCCATTCCTGATGATGGATGTCGATGATTACAACACCTGGAAGAATGTCCACGCTCAGGACCCACAATCTCCATTGGTCATCATTTTAGAAGGGATTGTGGATGCCTGTCTTCTAGAATATACAAAGTCAAGGTGTGGTGCTTTGCCATATTGAAATAGGCTACTGTGCACTAGGGTGCACTTGTGGTTTTGAATTTGTTTGGTCCTGTGTTCTGCTTTTGCTCACCTTAGATATAATAGAATGCGTAGCTGGATGAGGATTTATTCCAATGCATTGATTTTTCTTTCTCAATGTTGCTGATGCTCTTTAATATTTGTATTTTAATAGGAAGCAGTGCATGAACTTTTATTGCTTATAACCAGGTCGTAGTTCTAGTGGAAGCTTCCAAGTCAATTGGTACATTGCAATCCCTACTTGATGATGACATTCAGCAAAACAGTGTGAGAAAAGGGGGGAGTCATTCTCGCAACCTTCTTAGGGTGAAGCGTGGGCTTGACATGGTCAGAGTTCTATTTGAGAAAATTTTGATGATGGAGTATGTTCGTAACTAGCAAAATTTCATTCCACATTCATTTTTAAGTTTGTTTCCTTACCAATGTACAAATGTTATCAGATCTGGCGTTATTTGTTTTTATTGTTGCCGAATGATATGAAACGCTATGTTAACCTCCTCCAAAATTTTGTGGTTCTCTTTAGGGAAATTTATCAAAAAACACTGAGATGAACTATTTAACATCTCCCCTATTTCATTTGATTTCATTTCAAAAAGCCATCAAGGAACACATATTCATGAGTTAGCGTAGTTGATATCTTAGGCGTGTTTTGATACATGGGTGAAATGTTAAATAGTTGATTTATACTTTCCCTAAATATAAATTGATGGACTAAAGATCAACTAGCATAAGGATTTTTAGGAGAATGACATCGAAACACATGAAGAAGCAATATACTTGGAAGCCTGATTGCTCTCTTTCTTTTTTCATAAAAAAAAGAAAAAGAAAAAGAAAAGTAAAACTGACTGCTCTCTGTTGTATTGTTTTTTGGTTAGTCCTGCACTACATTCATCATGTCATGATTATTATTAATTAGAAACTACTGTTCCTATGGCAGGGGAAATTCCCTTAGGGATCCAGCATCAGTGGCATATGCACAGGTTTTTGCTCCTCACCATGGGTGGGCCATTAGGAAGGCTGTTGCTGCAGGAATGTATGCCCTTCCTACTAAAGCGCAACTTCTTAAGAAGCTAAATGAAGATGGTATGTAGGGTACATGGTTGATTATTTTCTTATTGGGGAATTTAAACTATTATATAATCCTAGGTGCTAGTTATATGAAAGAAAATAGCAATTTTTTAGTTGAATGTCTCATCCACATCTAGTGAATTGGTGGACAATGATGGAGAAAGGTGGTACCTACCAAAACAGGATAGAATTCAAATGGTGCGTCCCATCCTCTATACTCCCATCATTTCATTGGAAGTGCTGACCCAATGTATTATGGGTTTCTCATAGTCCAATGGATTAGAGTAGTGATTAGAAATCCGACAAGTTGACTTGGAACTGGTTTAGTCAGCTCGGGACTGGTAGGTTCCGGGCCGAGTCTCGCGTGAACTTGGGCGAGATGCCCAGTACCAATGAAATAAAAAAAAGAAAAAAAAGAAACAAAGAGAAGCATATATACTATAACTCCCAAAATAAGGCATTGAAGCCATCAATTTGAGATTTTGATAAGGTTTTATTATAGAAAAATTATGATTCTTCAACCCCAAAATTCTTATCCTCCTTTCTTCCAATTTCTCCCTTGATGCTTGATGAAAACACCTGAAATTTGATTCAAATTATTTGTTTTTAAGCCCTCTATTAAACTCCCTACCAATTTTTAGTGTACAAAATCAAAACAAAGAGGTTGACTTTTCAAATTCATTCAAATCTATCTCAAAATCGGAAATCTTCAATTTCTCTCCCATTTTTTTACCAAATTCATTCAAATCTATCTCAAAAATGTTTCTATCACATTGATCTATAGAAGCCCTATTTTTTATTTATTTTTGAATGAAAACCAAAAAAATTTGAATTTCGATTTTTTGTATTTTTCAGCCCTTTTATCCGCCTTTTCCTTGCCCTTTTTTTTTATTTGTAGTTTTGGATTGTGATTTTGGCTTATGCTTCCTAGAGTATGAAATCAATTGTTTGATTTCAAATTCATGATTTAATGTATTTTTATATTTTCAAATTTTTTATCTTTTACTTTTTTAAAAGTTTTTTTAATATAAAATGAGTCAGCTGGTCTGACTCACCATGTCTACTCTGTTGACTCGGATCTGCAGGGACTCAGGTCGGGCACCCGAGCTCTGGTTTTAAACACTGGATTAGTGTATACTTTATCTTCATTTGTTTTTGAAATTTATGAAGAATTTCCAGTAAAGATTACCATAAAGGTCATTGCCATTAGGTTTACTGTTTTTTTTTTTTTTCTTTCATAGGTACCACTAATTTTACTAAGCTAAAGTAAGTGGAGCGTAGTCACCTTACATGTGGTGCCTTCCATGAATCTTTCGCCATATTCATGAACTGATTTCTCCTCATGAATTTTTGTAGGAAAATTGCAAGTTACAAAACCTGAAGTGTGAACCTCAACATGAAATCTTAATTTGTTACATGGGAAGTGAAACAAATGGACGTCAACTACATGAAAAATTACAAACTTGGTTCTCTTTGCCATGTAGTTTGTCATGTCCTTTGGAACCTTCCAAATACCATTCCATGTTGTTTCCTGGCACTACACAGGACCATTTATTTTATCTCCTTTCAAATTCTTTTATGATTTTGTAAGGAAAGTACACTTTGGATGTATAAATGCACAAGAATTACAAAAAGGTTCCATCAACCACTCTGTCCTTTTAGCCTCCAAATTCCATTGACCCCATCTACATTTTACAAACCACCTTGGAATCTAATTTGACTATCGTCATGGTTTTCTCTCTCTGCCCCAATTTTGGGTCTCATCTGAGGTTCCCATGAATCCTGTGGACTAAGCTTGGAGACACGGGTGCAACTTTGTGACTTTGGTTATCAAGATCCACATTGTGTATTAACCCAGTGATAGACCTTATGGTAAGATCCAACTAAACCAAAAGGCCTATCCACCTCACAGCCACTGACCCTGTTGATTCGGAAGAAAATGTTATCTATTAACCCAAATGAAATAAAACACATATTTGGGTATGACTGGAGGAAAGGTTAGAACCACAAATTGTTCCATGACCTCCAAGGCAGTGGATATCAGCCACCCCACTAGCTTGATACCCTCCTCTCAGGCCCAAGCCTTATTTCAGAATCTTCGGTTTCCTAAGTTGTTTGCTGATGCCACCTATTCTGCGTAAGAATACATGTCCAGGTTTCGTAGACTTACGTGCGCCAGTAGCACAGTTGAGGATGAAACTCTTGCAGCAGGAAATTTACCAGTTCATAATGAAGGTTCCTTTTGTGGAAGACACAGGATATGTAATGCTTTTCTGTATTTCAGAGATGGTTGTGTATATCACAGTTTTGCAACACATGGGATGGACAGCCTTGTAGTATTTGTGTAAAGGGATATTTACTCATTTTGATCTTCGTATATCACACACGTGCTATTATGAGCTTTTTCTTCTAATTTGAAATTACATTATTTTGTGTCCCTACATTTATTTTAACAGTGTTTTCGTCTGTTATCTTGCTTTTCGTTATATGAAATTACATAACATGCTGATACTGTTCAAATTAAGATGCTGATACTGTTCAAATTGATCTTGATGAGACCTAACAATTCCGGGTTCCAAATCACTCTTGTGCAAAATCATATTAAAGAGTTACACTCAATTAAATTGATAACGTAATGAACCTTATGATGTCTTCATGTATAAATTAATCAAACACAATTTTTTTTGAATTGTAGATTGTAGAAAAATGAAAGTCTTGAAGAAAAAACTACTGTCTAGTGCCTTTTGCTTGTGTGTCTTAGTGGCTAGAGAAATTAGGCCATATTCCATATTATACATTCGATGACCTTTAATCTGTTCTTTCAGAGGCTTCAGCTAGGGTTCAAATGGAGAGCTATGTCGCTGCCTCAGCTCCGATCATAAATTACATCGATAAACTGTTCCTCTCAAGAGAACTAGGAATAGACTGGTGAGCACCCAACCTGTATGGCTTTGATATCATTTCTTTTTCTCGACATAATATAATTGACGCCCTAAAGGAGGGTATGTAAAACTATTATGTAAACATTATTCATGGGTATTTGCTCCCTTAAATAAAATTATTGAAAGTTTTTTGTTTTTGAGAAATAAAATTATTGAAAGTTTTCAAAATTATGTTTTTGCGAATATGGCACAAATAGCGCATTTAGGGCCTCTTTGGATTCACTTGTTATAACTAATAATTCACTATTTAAATAAAATTAATCTTGATAATGAATTATTTGTTGTTTGGCAGTGTCCATCATAAACTTATATAAGATAAACTTATAGATAAATCTACATAAAAGCTTATTTTTTTTAAAACATATTCACATTATTCGAAGTAATTTGATGAAAATATATATAACTAGAACTTGCTAAAAATAGTTGGAAATCACTGAAAAACGTAAATAATTAAATAATATTATGTATAATATAGGATGAGGTACTGTGGTGTATGCTGTTTGCGTGCGATATAGTTTTAATCGATGAGACCGGAAGCGGCATCCACACAAAGTTAGAACCTTGTAGGGATGCTCTAGAACCTAAAGGTATTAAAATTAGCCCGACCAAGACAGAGTGCATGAAATAATAGGAGTAGAGACGAGGAAGTAGTTAAGATTAACAACCAAGAAATACCAAAAACAGCGTACTTTCAATATCTAGGGTCGATGATCCAGGAAAATGGAGAGATTGAGGAAGATGTCACACATAGAATTGGAGCTAGGCGGGCGAGGTGGAGATGTGTAACCTGAGTTTTATGTGATCGTGGCAATACCAATGAACCTGAAGGGAAAGTTCTATAGGACAATTGTGTGGCCATCTTTGCTTTATAGGATGGAATGTTGGGCGGTTAATAAACGACATGCCCATAGGATGAGTGTAGTTAAGACGAGGATCTTGAGATGGATGAGTGACAAAACATAAAGAGATATGATTCAAAATGAATATATTTAGGAGAATTTAGGTATGGCTCCAATAGGCGATAAGATAAGAAAAAGTCGACATAGGTGGGCTGGCCATGTGTACTGCAGACCCAGCACAACACTTGTTATGAGGTGCGAGTTGGTTCAAATGTAAGGCCAAAAACGGCAAGGGGTTGGCCCAGAAAAGATGGGACTCGTTGATGTATGACCCTTGATAGTGTCTATATTGAAAGGCCAGATGGTAAACAACTTCAGTACACCAAATCCTCCAGCTTTAGCAAATGCTTCCATTGTCCCGTGATTCAGATCATATTCTTTCTCCTTTGTAATAGAAAATGATTGTTATGCTCATATGAAAATATTAAAATCATTGTTATGCTCATATGAAAATATTAAATACAATCTGAGAGTTCCACAGTAACATCTTTAAAACAGTAACAACATCAAAAAAAAAAAAAAAACAGTAATATTTTTAAAAGAAATGTTTTCATAACTGTAAATTATCACCAAGTTATTTTATGATAGAACAATAAGAAATAAAGAAAGTCCAATAGTTATGGAAAGCCCAACCAAATTTCCCTTGAGTGCAAAAATGTGTATTCAACTGCCATGAGTCATGTTTGCTCCCATCTTAGAAATGTCAGATACCCTAGACATATCTCACTATTACCTACCATACTGATTTTATATTAGCTTACATATGTTCAAATGTCTAACTAAAAACAACCATTATTATCTTGGTCAGATAGCTTAGCTCTAATCATTATTGAGATGCTGTGCCTTCTATATTGAACCCCATTACTATTGCTTTGCGAAAAGCACCAGCACAAATACATACATCTGTCTGTTTACTCCTTTGCTGGTACTTCTACAAAATTGTCCTCTCAGTGATAGTAACTAAAGAAATTCTAAATTGTCAAAAGCATAAAATGCCGAAGTTTTTGTGCATGATTGTCCTCTATTACTAATTGCTTATCGAATTATTTTTTCAAACTAGTTCATTTTGTTGCCCCTTCAATTTCTTCGAAGGCATTGTTCTTTTCTGTATTCACTCTTTTATCATTTGGCACATCTGAAAAACATGCAATTATGCCAAAGGACTCACTAATTTGTACCACTCTAATGATTTTCAATATACCAGAAGAAGTTAGCAATTAGGATACTGCTAGTAACAATCTCCAATCAATCACTTCTTTGCAGTTGAGATTTGAGCTAATTTGTACTGTAATATGTGTTTCCCATTGCAAAAAGGGTATGACGATCGACAAATTAAAGGCTTCTGGAAATAGGTATGAGTGTTTATTTAGGGGTCCATACACTATAGTACCTGTTTTGTTCTGTACAGGATACTAAAAGCTCATCAAACTCTTGGCTTTCATCAATGGACGGTTGGGAAGTAATGTTATTCCACTCAAACGCTTTCAAATTGTTTGATGAGATTTGAACAAAGAAGCAATACTCCTTACCATCTATTGTTGGACCTTCAGACAGTCTAAATAGCAGTCAGTATCTTGTTTGAAACCAAAACTGGTAGAATGGAATACTTTGTTACGAGATGAAAAGTAGAATATCTCTGAGATGGACATTTATTGAATCCAGAAAATTCTCTGGAAGAATCTACAGTAATTCATATTCGGTCCCATTCTTAAACCAATCATTTCTGGAACCTGCAGCAGGCCAGAGAAAAAATCATTAATATTTTCCCACATAGCATGGCTAGGAAAAGTAATCAAAAACTGATAAAAGTACAGACATACAAGTTAGCAAAATGTTTGTCCCAATCTCGGGATTTCAATTTAAATTTAAATTTGAATGTGAAATTCAAAAATGAAACTGAAGGCCAAACTAAGACCTAATACCTGAGCCCCAAAAACCCAGTAATGAGGTGCAAGTATTGAGTAATCATTAGATGGACAAACTGTCAAAGCATGTAATGAGGCTTACAACTTTGACTTTGCTCCACTAGGATGAAAATCTAAAGCATCGTAGTGTCCAAAACCATGATATAGAACACGAATCGGATCTTCCCTTCCATAATCTTGACCATACTCTGCTATAGTTAGTAGACTGCCAGATTTATGATCACGCATAAAAACAGTGATTGGCATCCTGTGAAACCAAACCAACTGCAGTAAGAAACTGGAGGTTTGGTTAAAGACAGAAAGTTGGTTCAAATTATACACAAGGGCAAACAATATCTTCAATTGACAGTAGTCAAAATTGGATGTTAATCCAACAAAAGAGGATAATTAGCACTCACTGAAGAACATGTGAAGCCATGAGCAGCTCAGGCTCTCCTCCCCACACATGAGGCTTTCTAATCTGTTGCACATATGTATCAAAATCACCTTCAAGAAACCTAACAGAGTTGTTAAGAAAATATTGTGTCAATATATGCCTAAATTCAAACAGACTAGACTAACATTGAGTCCACACAAGAAAGTCACTGAAATGGAAAAACGGAGCAAATTTTTTTTTTTTGGTTCTGTGAACATTTGATGATACATCTTGGTTGAATTTGAAACTTCACATGAATGACAGCTGTTCTTGAAAATTTCCTCCTTTATATTCGATACATGACAAAGCTGTCTCGAAGAAATCCACAAAAGTCTTCTTGCAAAGTAAAGAAATCTTCCCTATATAGGAAAGCCATAGTGCTCCTCATGTTTATAACTAAGGGATATAGCCACTAATTGACTCTGGCAATGACAAAAAATGCACAGGCGGGCGCCTATGCATTTTGGAGGCCTGGCCACCTAGGAGGGCAGGCACCCCAGGAACAAGGACGGGTAGGGATTATTCACATAAAAATTAAGATATAACATTTTATATAATTCTTTATTAATTAATATCCATAAGATATGGTTTTGGGTATCAAATATTTACAAAAAGTCTTCACTGTTGACCATAGAAGCTCCAAAAACTACCTCAAAACATTGCCTTTGATTTCGGAAGAAATCAAAAAAATTAAAAACTTATCGATCTTCCGATAAATCACAAAATAGAGGCTTTTGGCAGTTTTTTTCTCTCTCTAGATGACACGGATTTGGTTTTGGCGGTTTAGAATGCCCCCCAGAACCTCGTTTCGTCCCTTTTTAGGAGGGGGGATTACTATTTTGACTATAGGCGAGGGCATTTTTCTGCCCTCGGCAACCTGCATTCCAGTGGCACCTAGGCAGCCACCTTGACTGTAGCACCTAGACGGTGCCTTGCCCGCCTAGGCAGTTGCCTAGACACAACCCGCCTAGGCGATTTAGCCGATTGGCCACCTAGGCGGCTGGGTGCAACACGCTTGATGAGGTATTTTGGTTTTTCTACTAAGTTGTAGATAAGGCCAATAAATTTGAATATATGATCGTTCATCAAGTATGTCCAATTTTTGTGACTAAATCAGATGAATTGACAAAACCAAATAACCGCTGAATCTGAACTTTGCCTTTTTTTTAGCGATGGTTTGTATTATATCTTATTTTACTTCTTTACATGGTCTTGTTCATTTGAATTTTGTATTTAACTAGATAATGATTAATGCTTTAGCAAGAAAAACATTCAAATCTGAACTTATCCCAAAGTATTTAACTGACCATTCTGTGTCTTTGCGTCTCTTAACTAGCTCATCAGCAACCTAAAAAAACATCACAGGCTGCATCAGAACAAAGCTTACAAGTTTGTCCATTGTAATAATTAGGTCAAATGACAAAAATTCATAGTCAATGAACATGACAGTAGCTACAAGGACCTAAGTTTGCAACCAGGAGTTTCCATCTATGAATAGAACTTGCAAAAAGTCCAAAATCGTGCCAAATAGACCCTGGCCAAGATTGCACTGCCATTATATGTTTACAACAAATATTTAATACAAAATGGACGATAAGATGTGAAGGCACCTAATACCAGTGAAGTAATACATAATTTCTATGGGCAATGGTCAGTTGTCCAGTTGTTGGCATGAACGGATGGGAATAAAGAGAACCTCATACAACAAATGGCATTGAAATTCTCATAACATTTTGAACACAAATACAACATATGCAATACATACGTTAACATCACAGAAAAATGCACGGAATCTTTATCTTGTTTTACTCAAAAGTGAATTCCATTTGCATACTTTAGCCCTTAGCTCATCTGCCAGCTCCTTCTGAAGATTCTCACTTGGGGATGGCTTTCCCAATCTCAAGCAAGCACCATGAGCTACAGATCTGAATAAACATCTTCCATCCCCAGGTACACCTACAGGAAACAGATTCCACACTTTAAAAAGAAGCTTGTAACCATGAGAATGAAGAAAAAAAAGTAGCAAGCAAATCCAAAAACCCTAGAAATAATGACCACACTAGAACCATACTTCTAATATAGATATCCAAATATGTGGTTTTAAAACAAAATGATTTCTTAATACTGACAACTTATGCTTCTTTAAAAGAATCTATTCATGCATCTCTAAAAGTAGAGCAGTTGCCAACATAAACTACCAGGGCACCTATAAAGGAAATTTTCCATGGATTTGCCAACTACTTGCACAAAGTAAAGTAAAGGAGTTAAAAAGTAAGCATCAGCAATTGAACAATCGGCATTGCAAGTTACCGGATCTCCATATATATTTCATAGGTACTCCCAAAAAAACAACATAAAAACTGAGACTTAAAGCTCTACTTGACCATGTTTAAGTCAAAGGCATCATTCCTGCAATTTAAGCATACCAGATTCTATTGGTGACCATCCAATGGATGAATTTTCAAAGAGACGCTGTCAATGACCGAATCATACTACTCAAACACGCAATGCATAGCTCTGAAGTTGCATAAGGTTATACCGAGGATGGCGTCAATTCAGCTTGTCATATTCAGCACAAACAGAACAGGTTCCTGAATTAGTTACCACAAGTGTGAATAACAGAAAGCGAAGGGCTTAGGTTCTTTATGGCTTGTTTTCCTCCTCTCACTTAAACGGAATTTATTCCTCTGCATAGATTTTTCAGTTTTGGCTAGAAAAAATAGCGACTTTTCTATTTACTAACCCAAAACACTTTTTCTTTTTTCTTCTCATCCTGAGAAATGCAAACTACTTACACTTCAAAAACTAATGTTGACTTAACGGAGTCTTATCTGTCGTTCAGTGAAGTACAATATAGCAACTTCCTTCTAAGATATTACTCCTATTCAGAAAACCCACACTGCAAAGAGAATACCTATTAAAAAATATGGCAGCCTTGCAATACTGCTGAACTAAATACACACCTCTGAAACAAAATAATCAATGTGCATGAAGCGGAAGCAATCGAAAAGCATTTAGGGTAAAAATACTCATTAAAAACGAAGCTGTCATTCCCAAAAGGTTTGCCACGCAAATCGGCATTCACCTGCTCGCTTTGAGTTGTTGAGGGATCATAACAATTTTTTTCCTAATGGAGGTCGTTACTATCAGTCTTGGTCTGTTAGAGGAAGGGAACTAAAGGAATCATATCTGTTGAGTATAAGATCCTAAAATAATTGCAGAGATAAAGGAAACATTTAGGAGAATTGGGAAAATTCAAAAAACTGGGCAAAATGCATCTAAAATATCTGATGAAGCTATGAAGATTTTAATTCATAATGAAACCCATGACAAAACACTCTGACACATATACTTCAGTTTCCAGCTTTGGAAACATGAGATTTTGAAGTGAGGACATTTATACAACCCACAACTTTCCAAGCTAAACTTCTAAGATGTTGCACACAATTAATTATTATCAAACATCGCATCGGGCCATTGAGTTTACTAACCAAGAAATGTTCTCCCATTCTGCATCCTAAATTGGCAACATGGCTCATGTGGAAGAGCAATTACAGTGAAGAAAAAAATATAACATATGAACTCCATTCCTAGTATGTCAATAAAGTAGAACAGGAGCTCTAGATCTGATATCCTATAAATGCTATATCCGAGATCCCAATTGGGAAACTAACAATAGCATGCAGATTCTTGATATGCAATCACAATATCAAACTATTAATACGACATATTTGTCATAATACGCAACACACTTGCCAAGCAATTCCCTGTGTTTTTCTAAATTAATTTCCATGAATGGATCACCTGGCTTCAAAGACCAGATTGAAAATAATTCAAATATCCAACCAGTAAACAGAGAAGGAGAAATTCAATACTGAATTCTCCAGAGCATTAATTAAAGCCGCTTCTCACTTGTGTCAATTCTTGCACGATGATTGAATAGAGCAGTTTGGAGGAGTCTATTATTTATCTAAATTCATGCAATAACTCTTAGCCACGACTTAGAACTGACAGATAAATATCTAGTAGAAGGACTAGCAAAAATTCAGGGAGGGACACAAAAAGGTGAAAAATTAATAGTTCACTTTTGCTATCAAGATAAGCATAAGTAACATCTTGTTGATAAAATAGCTGTTTAGATGAATTCCTGCCTGTGTGCTAACTCCAGATGTATGATAAACTCAGAAAATAAGGGGAAGATAAATAAATTATGTTCAAAACTAATAGAGCAACCTGCCCGGTCTGCCATCGAATTCTTTGAAAGTGAGAACCAAAAGAGAGCAATGAACAACCATTGCTTTAACCTTTGCATAAGAATTCCAGAAAGGCATAAAAGGAAGACAAGTTCTAAAGAAAGGAATAACAAGCAGGGAAATAAAAAAAGAAGCAAACACAAAAAGGTAATCAAGCATAGAAGCCCGAAAAATTCAACACAAAAAAGAGAAAGTAAATTGAAACCAGAACGGAGAATACGTACAAATAACCTTAAATTGAGCAGGCTCGAATGCATATTTGGAATCCGACATACCTTGATTCCAAGAACAAAAGTAAGAAAGTTATGGAAATTAAATATTTAAATTCCTCATTTGAAAGAGGGAACAAATAAAGTGGCTTCTTCCAAGAAGGAAGAGACCACAGTATTCTCCCCGAGTTTTTTGCCGGAAAATGAGAAATTTATAGATGGAAGGTGTAAAAAGAAGCAGAACAAAAAGGAAGGGAAAGGAATAGGAGGTGAGCAGGCACAAGTGTGCGTGTGAAGAAGAGGAAAGGGACATGAATGGAATCATGAGGTTGAAAAGGAAGGATGGATCGATCAGGGAATCGAATTCCTTGTGTTTTATACCTGGTTTTTAAAAATGGTTTGTTGCATGAACTAGATTAAAGAAAATAAAATAAATTTCTTCGCGGCAAACCTCCATTTGAATATGTGTGTATTTCCGGTTTGGCGAGTGTAACGTTCAAATAAGCTGCTGCATATTAGCCTAATTAATCCAGTCTTAGTAAAATCCAAGTAGAACCGTCAATTGGACATAGGCCTGGCCTAACCAGTAAACTGGCCGATTCAACTGTTCTAATTGGGCAAGTTTCAGATGGTCAAAACCAGGGTTGGTCAAAAACAGGGTTTTAAAAATCAGTGAGTCGCAATGGACTCGCCCCGATCCTAAAGGAGGATTTGAACAGTGAATCAAAATCGCCCGATCCTAGAGGAGAATTTGAACAATAAATCAAAATCGCCCGATCCTAGAGGAGAATTTGAACCGTGAAATCCTAAAGGAGAATTTGAATAGTGAAATCCTAGAGGAGAATTTGAACAGTGAATCGAAACCGCCCGATCCTAGAGGAGAGGAGAATTTTAACAGTGAATCGAAATCACCCAATTCTAGAGGAGAATTTGAACCGTGAAATCCTAGAGGAGAATTTGAACAGTGAATTTGAACCGTAGAGGAGAATTTGAACAGTGAAATCCTAGAGTAGAGGAGAATTTGAACTGTGAAATCCTAGAGGAGAATTTGAACTGTGAAATCTAGAGTAGAGGAGAATTTGAATAGTGAATCGAAAAAGCCCGATCCTAGAGGAGAATTTGAACAGTGAATAAAAATCGCCCGATCCTAGAGGAGAATTTGAACAGTGAATCGAAATCGCCCGATTCTAGAGGAGAATTTGAATAGTGAATCAAAATCGCCCGATCCTAGAGGAGAATTTGAACAGTGAATCAAAATCACAAGATCCTAAAGGAGAATCGGAGCAATCGCCCCATCCTAGAGGAGAATTTGAACAGTGCATCAAAATCGCCCGATCCTAAAGGAGAACCGACGATTTTGATGACATAAATCGAAGAAATCGCCCGATCCTAGAGGAGAATTTGAAAAGTGAATCAAAATCGCCCTATCCTAGAGGAGAACTGGTGATTTTGACGTCATAAATCGCGATTCCAAACCTTCTAGGATCGTGCGAATTCGAATAGTAGAGAAATCGCCCCGATTCCAAACCTTATAGGATTGTGTGATTTCGAACAGTAGAGAAATCGCCCCGATTCCAAACCTTATAGGATCGTGCGATTTCGAATAGTAGAGAAATCGCCCAATCTTAGAGGAGAATCGCGATTCCAAACCTTCTAGGATCGTGCGATTCTCCTCTAGGATCGTAAGGTGTCATTCTCCTCTAGGATCGTGCGATTTCAAATAGTAGAGAAATCGCCCGATCCACCTTCTAGGATCATCGTGCGATTTCGAATAGTAGAGAATTCGTCCGATCCTAGAGGAGAATTTAAACAGTGAATCAAAATCGCCCAATCCTAAAGGAGAACCGACGAAATCGCCCTATCCTAGGGCGATTTTGACGTCATAAATCGTGATTCGTTCATATGAAGTCATAAATCGCGATTCCAAACCGCTTGTGACGTCACAGGTAGGCGAGTCAATAACTGAGGATATTTTGGTAATTTAAATCAAAACATAGGACCTCGGGTATACCCCTTCTCTCGATCGCGCTGGCATAAACGCTATTTTACAGGTATTATAGCATGTAAACTTTCTTTGATTCTTCGATGTGGGATTTGTGCCGAGTGATGTAATGTTCAAATTTCAAAAGTTATTCAATATGAACAATTATTGTAGAAAAGTATTCAACGGTGCGCGATGGACTGCAGTAGTTAGCAACAATGTTTCAATTGTATTTTTGTCTTTAAAAAAAATAAAAAAAAGAAGAAACAGAAAAAAAAAGACAAATAAAAAGAAAATCGGTGTTTACTTTTTTCTTCAAAAAAATAAAATAAAATAAAATAATATCATCAAAAAAATAAAAATAAATAAAAAGTAATACAACAAGCATTTCTAACTAAAAAACAAAAAAGACAATGCATCTTTTTTTTCTTGTAAAAAAAAAAGGTAATAAAACAAATATTTCTTGTCAAAAAAGCAAAATAAAAGGTACTGGCAGCATCATTTTCTTATTTTCTTGTAAAAAAATAAAAAGTAATAAAACAAGCAAAAAAAATGTAAATTGGCATCTTCTTTTTTTTCTTGTCAAAAAAAAAAAAAAGGTAATACAACAAGTATCATATTTTTCGTTAAAAATAAATAAATAAATAAAAAAGCTAATACAACAAGTATTTCATGTCAAAAAAATAAAAGGTATTTTTTAATACAACAAATATTTTTTAATACAAACTAGGAATAACATATCTCACTATAATTTTTATTTTTATAATATGGTAATCTTTAACATAAATTTAAGAATATTAACTTTAAGATAGGATTCATACAATGAGACCACTTGAAATATCTCTCTGTCTCTAACAATCTCTTCCACTAAATTTATTCTAGAAATCTAAAAAATTATATTTTTGAAAAATTGAAGGGTTATTTTGAAAATTGATGCGTATTTTAATAATTTCTATATTGATAACTAAATATTTTATTTATTTATTTATTTGTATTATAAATCTTGAAATGTACTATTTTTCTTGCAGTTGTCAATAATACATTTTAAATTAAATGATATTATAAGATAATTTGATTTTGTTAATATTTATATAGTAAAATGTAAGCGAACAATTTTCATTTCAATATATAATATTGTAGTTAGTTAGGTTGTAATAATTTGGGTTTTTTTAGCGGATTAGGGTTTTTCGCCAATTCGAGATTTTAGTGGCCATTTTTTTATCGATTTAATCCATTATTTATTGTAATCTATGTATAATTATATATTATATATTTTTTATTTTTTGTGATGCAAATTTAATGGTTAACATAAGTTCATACACGGAAAGAACATCTCAATATTCACAAATTGATAAAAAAATGAAAGTTAATAATATAATACCTGCATTTCTTATTGGATTCTTAAAAAACAACACTTATAATGAATTTTAATAAATTTTTTGGATTTTTTTAAAGGCTTAATCGGACTGATTCGGCTGATTCCCGATTCACCGATCTGGATCGCCGATTCATTGATCCAGATAGGTTTTTTGAGGTGCCTGATCTAGGGCATTGATCCATAAAAAAATACACAAAATATATACTAAGATATGAAAAACATATAAAGAATGATTAGAACAAAACGCATTCAATTGAAGTTAGAAATTAATGAAAAAAAAGGATTTTAATGAATCGATTTATGCCTGGGGGTATTTTTAAATATTTTTGAAATGGATGAGAAAATATAAAAGTGAGTATTAATGACCAAAACATTTTGACTCTTTACATAATATAACCAATATTAAAAAAATGCATTACAAACCAAAATTTTTATTTTTTGGAATTTATATTTTTTTTTTGAATTTTTTTTTAAATACCAGCAATCACTAAAACCGCCCAAAATCGGAACCAGCCACTGACGGTTCCAATCTAACTAGGCGGTTAGAAGTTTGATCGCCCTCTAACTGTAATTAATCCTCATTTGTTTGTCCATTTGCAAATTTGAAGCCAAAAAATATTCTACTCCTACGGGAGTAGAATGCTCATTTACTCCCACGGGTCAAAGGCCACTTGAATTAATTTTAGGACCGCAAATGTTAGGGGCGCTCTTCAATCATAGATTAACCTCAATAAAATATTTTCTGATTGGTGCAAGGAGATTACAAGACTACCATGGAGAGTTAGATCGTTGTGGGTACAGGTTATGGAGTTTTTTTTGTGCAATTAGATGTCCCTTAGCGGGGCAAATGAAATTTCATATGGCTCAGCAAAAGCGAGGGGTTTATTTGCATAGTTTGCAAGTGTCTAATGTTATACTTATTTGGGCATAGTGCAGTTTTGTTTTGATCAATAAAATTAAGTTGGTTACTAATTGCATCCTCAATGCACTTAAAAATAATAATATCTTGATATTGAAGAGACCATCCAATTTTTAGATGCCGACAGAGTTAGAATCTCAATTTTCAATTTGGGTTGGCAGGTCTAAGGTAGTCCAAAAAATAGTTAAAAAAATTGGAAAAAAAAAACCCAAAAAAATGAATTATGTTTTAAAGTAAAATTAAACCAAACACTAGTGAAAAATTGATTTTTTTTTTAAAAAAAATTTTGCGAGCAGGAAATTTTTAAAAATAATCCAAAAAAGAAGGGAAACTGTAAAAATAAATATTTATAGTCAATAAGAAAATATTAAAAAACATATTACAAATTAATGTCTTATTTTTTGGATTTTAAATAACTTCTTTAATTTTTGTTTTTTTAGAAACCCTAGCTTGACCACCAAAACGAGCCAAAACTAGGAGGGTGCGGGTAGCCCAGCCGGTTTCGTGAACATGGATCTCTATGGATAGATTGTGCCCTACAACTATAAATTTCTCACACCACGTATCGCTAGGGCTGTCAATGGTCCAGGCCGGGATTCGGGCCTCTTAAGGGTTTTGGGCTATGGCAAAGAAAAAAAAAATGTTCACCAGGCCGGATGAGGCCTTTAACGAGCCAGCCCAAAAATGGCCTAGAAAGCCCGAAAACTTACCATAGTGCCCTGCTGACACGATAAGCCCGAAGCCAATCTTTCTATCTAAAAAAACAATCTTTCTATCTAAAAACTCATTCTCTTTCTCTAGAAATTCAATATCTTTGTCGCTCTTTAGAAACCCAATATCTCTTTCTCTTTCTAGAAACTCATTCTCTTTCTAGAACCCAATATCTCTTTTTCTTTCTAAAAACCAATGTTATCAAATTCGTTTCGCTTAAGAGGCTGAAGCCTTCAGATTTTAGGCATAAACCGAAGAGAAACGACGCCTAGTGCTGGTGCTTCGGGGCAGATTTTGGCTGCTTTGGATTTGCTTCGAATATGCTTCGGCCAGCAAAGAAATAGTTGTATAAAAGTATTTTTTATTTTTTTTAAAAAAAATTTCTGCTATTTGTATATATTATATATATAAATATCTAATTTATTTGAATTAAATTAAAAAATAATAATCTAAAGTCTTCTTCCGTATCAGCCGAAGTACCGAATTGCTTCATGTTTCTCACCAAACTGAAGGAGGCTTTGAAGTGAATCAGACAAAAATTCTAAAAATCCAATATCTCTTTCTATCTCTAAGAACCCATTATCTCTATATAGAAATACAATATCTCTTTCTCAATCTAAAAACTCATTCTCTCTCTTTCTAGCAACCCAATCTTTCTTGTTCTCTCTAAAAACCCATTCTTCTTTTCTGGAAACCTAATCTCTCTTGGTCTCTCTACAAAATAATTTAGTATCTAAAAACCCATTTTTCTTTTCTAGAAACCTAAGCTCTCTTGGTCTCTCTACAAAATAATTTAGT